GTTAATTTATATTAACAATATGAATTTTAAAATCACAAAAAAAAATCTTTTAATCTCTATAAAACTTGGGCACATGGATTTTTTTTAAAAATTATCATTAGTATCTTATCACTTTTGCACTTACATTTTCATTGTGTTGTGTTATTATCAGTGTCATAAAAGTATAACTAAAATAATACGGATTAATCAACTCAAATTTGAAACAATTTAAAACTTAAATTGAGTATAAATAAAATTTTTACTAGTTTTTAATTTTAATTTAATTAAACATAATACAAGACATATAATTATAAAAATGAACTAACTTGATTCAATTTCAATTGATTTAAAAAAGTTAACAACTTAGTAGTTATTTAAAACTTGAAATGAGTGAACATAATCAAAATCTGAATTGAAATAGTAATCCAATTAAAATCTAACATTAGTTATTCATCTTCTATAACAATTTAAAAAATTTTATTTAAACTTTTTGTCTTAATCTTCAATATTTTATTTTTATTATCTTGGTGATTAAATTAGTTAATTAAATTTAAGAGTATTTCTAAAGTGAAATTACAATTATAAGTAATTGAGTATATTTTTTTTTTATTGAAAATTTGGACAATTCGAATCCAACTTCTTAAATAAAGAGAAGCATGCACCAATTATTGAATCAAATTTGCTTAAGTGCATAAGTGAATAATTGAATACATTATGAATAAAAGTAAATGATAAAACTTGACTTAACCTAATTGGTCATTAGTCTGATCTAAAATTCAACTAAAAATTATAAAAATTCAAAATTCAAAATAACTGAAATACCAAATACACAATTAAATAAAGATTTATCAAATGAATTTTGCTAAGGAATACTTTTAAATTATTTTTAAGTTTAGTTAAATTATAGTTTATAATATTTTTATTTTATATGTAAAATGATAATTAACTTGATGAATTTTAATTTTTTTGAAAAAATATTACTTAATATGATAGCCTTAAAAACTTTGATACAACAGTGAATATTTTTCAACTGATATAAAAGAGAAATGAATGAGTATACAATGTTTATAAAATAAAAGAGTTTTATATTAATCCTAAAGAAATTTGATGTCAATACATTTTTATATTTTTCACTAAAACATCGTATAGCACTAATTTTCTTTATTATATGAAAAAAATAAAGTTATGTATAACTAATCAATCTTTCATCTCTTTTTTTTGCTTAGAATAATCTTCCATTGGTGCTTTCATCAGTTGAATATAATTGTACATCCTATCAATTGAAAGTTTAATTGTTCTTTTGTTTGAACATTTTTATTATACATAAATTTTTATTAAATAAAAATATTATATTACATAATTTTAAAAAATAAAATAAAATAAAACAAATTTCTAACCTTGATACTTGTCATTTTTTTTAAGAAAATTCCAATTCTAAGAATAACAAACTTGTCATATAATATCTGTACTATTTATAATAATTTCATTTTTAGTATTAACAACATAATTTTTATGAATGAATATAATTATTGCATAAACACATTCAAAAGATATATCTAATGAATTTTGTCACCCTTTGAAAGAATTCACAAAAAACAGTTAATTTTACTTCACTTGATAATTTTTTACTTATATAATTCATGTTAGATTGTTCAACCACTTGGATAACAAAAAAAAAAAAAACGGGTAAATTTAATACATTTTAGAAAAATTAAATAACCTTAATATAAATTAATTATATATATTATTTCAATTAAGGTGATTAATTGTTATGGCAATTTGATGAGACGTAACTTTACCACATCTTAAATCATCTAATTCTATAGGTGAAAAGTCAAATTGAAGTGTCCAATGAATCGTATAATGCTAATTATTGGTAGAGAGGATGTAATTGATTTGCATTTGATTTGATATTAATTTTTGTTCATGAGAATAACAATTATAAAATTTTAGAGGAAAAAATATAAAAGAAAAATTAGTTATAGAGGTTAGACTAAACTGTAAGAATGATATATTAAAAATTATTTCAAGAAACTAAAAAGATTTAATTATGTTATTAATGACCAAATGATTAACTCATAAAACATATAAATAATAAAATCATTAACATACATATATAATTAATATATTAGAACAAAAAGTTGAAAGGCAAAAAATAAAAATAATATGCTTTAATGACTTAATTATAATTATCTTTAATGAATTTATTTATTAACATAAACAACATATACAATTACTTTTACAAAAACTAAATAAACAAATTTTATATAATTGTTTTATTCCTATAAATACTAAGTTTTGATATGTTCTATTCTTATTTTCATTTAATGTGAAAAAACATTCTACTTATAAAAAAATAGTTAAATAATTAAAAAATTATTTAAATTAAAATTTATAAAAAAGTACTAATGGTATTTTAATCGATAACTTGTAACATTTTTTAAATTAAAGTTTCATTAAGGATATTTTAATCAATTACTTTTAATAAATCTTTAATCTAATTAAAAAAAAAGTTTAATAATAAAAAAATTAATTTAAATTAATATTTATAAAAACATTTACTAAAAATATTTTTGCCAATAACTTTTAAAACTTTTGAAATTAAAATTTTAGAATTTTAAATAGTTTAATTTCACATAAACTCCATTTTTAATTTTAGTTAATTTAAATTAAACTTAAATAAATTGATAAAAATTATATATTTAGGGATACATTTGTTAATTTAAAAATTTATAAAAAAATTTAGATCGATCATGATACTTTTAGAGTTTACATTGATACATAAAATGATATATCAACCAGCAACCTGCATCATGTATTTACCTGAGGTTTACCGATCCAATGGAATGCGTTGGAGAAAAGGCCAACCTGTTGATCATGAACACTTTGGTGTCACCAATTACTCAATAATAGGTTGAACTCACCATCGTAATGGAATGGCTCTTTCTCGCCGTCTGCCACGTCCACTATAAGAGACCCGTACAAGCCTGCTGATCTTTGCATTCCATAGTGTCCATGGTAAAAGTAAGTTCCAGGCTGCGTCATAACATTCCCACAACATTATTTTTCATACCAATGGGTAGTAGTAAGAAGTCACGAAAGATTAACTTCAAATTAAATACGTGTGTTTTTGTTTACCAATTGATGTATCTTCTAATTCTGAAGTTTGAACTTCGTTCATTGAAGGCTGAAGATAAGAGCTCCCTGGAAAGGAGAAGAACTAGAGAGAGATTGAAAGATTTCCCTGTCAACTGGGAACCTGTATTCAAAAGTTTCTCCAGGGTTGATAGCACATTGTGAAAAGGAAGCAGCCCCATCTGCCCACGGTGTTCCAAGCTGATGAAAACAACATTTTACAGATCAAGAATATGGCAGTGGCACTACTTCGTATGTAAAGACATTATTTTCTTGCACATATAATTATTTGTGTAAAGAGAGTGAAAATGGCAAACCTGTCTGATTCCATGCCAGTGAAAAACAACTCCTTCGGTGTGAAGCTTACTAGTGAGTTCCACAACAATCGGGTCTCCGGCTTTAGCCCTGATAGTCGGCCCTGGAAACTGGCCATTGATACCCATCACAACATGTTCCAGACAATCTGGAGACCTATACATGTATTCCACTTCCCATTTTAAATGCGTAGCCTTGGAAACCAATGAGACATGTATCAAAGACAACACGATGCACCAGAAAACAAAAGCCCTGGAACAACTACACTTACAATCCATTTCCAACAGGGATAACTTGGATTGCGGCCGGTGGACTGCAGAGTGTGTGTTTTTGGGCAAACAACATTTTACAGATCAAGAATATGGCAGTGGCACTACTTCGTATGCAAAGACATTATTTTCTTGCACATATAATTATTTGTGTAAAGAGAGTGAAAATGGCAAACCTGTCTGATTCCATGCCAGTGAATAACAACTCCTTCGGTGTGCAGCTTACTAGTGAGTTCCACAACAATCGGGTCTCCGGCTTTAGCCCTGATAGTCGGCCCTGGAAACTGGCCATTGATACCCATCACAACATGTTCCAGACAATCTGGAGACCTAATTCCACTTCCCATTTTAAATGCGTAGCCTTGGAACCCAATGAGACATGTATCAAAGACAACACGATGCACCAGAAAACAAAAGCCCTGGAACACCTACACTTACAATCCATTTCCAGCAGGGATAACTTGGATTGCGGCCGGTGGACTGCAGAGTGTGTGTTTTTGGGCACTGGTACTTGTTTAAATTTAGAGTGATCTCTTGAGAATTGCCGGTAGGAATATTTTCTGCAGATACATCTTCTCAAAATTGATGTCCAGGATCTTCCTTTTTAATGAGGTTAGATCATATTGAAAACTTAATTGGAAAGATTAACTTTTATCATTTTTTTGTCAATTATAAGACGTCCGTAATAATTAAGGGAACAATCTACCCCAAAACAAAATCTAATAAGATATACCAGCTATAGTATATATCACATAGAGGATCAAGTCTTTATATATATATATATATATATATATATATATATTTGAAAATATCTAAAATTATGTAACTTATAAAATTCAAAATAGAATAGAAGGATTAAATCTTTCTAAATACTTTTATACTTAATTTGTTTTTCAATCTTTTCCAAATTCAAAATCATGTTTATCTTAATTCAGTTAATCACAATAGTATAGACTCCACTTCGCCAACCCAAAATGAAAAACCGACATTGGGCTTTAAGCTTTAGCCTATTCCATAATGACATGAGATATAAACTGTGGCGAAGCCCATCCAAAAAATTTTTCTGAAATCAAAAGATCTAGCCCAAATTAACACCATTGCCCATTCCTAGCCCATGGCAATTAGGTTAGCCTTGTTCCTAACCTGACGCCAATCAAAAGCAACAAACACATTATTGCTTATAACCCTTAATCAGAACGAATCTTCTACCCGAATCAGATAAACTAATCATGGCAAATCCACGTCAATCCATCAAATATTTTTGGGAAAGAAATAAATAGCAATTGAAATTAAAACAGGGAAACAGAGAAGGCTATATTTATTAAATTCCGAGAAAACAAGTATCTTTTAGGATACAAAAACTTAACACTACAACTCAAACTTAGGATTTGTACCCAAGTAGCAAAATGCCTAATGTTCTGAAATGACATCCAATTTTTTTGATTCATTGGCAAAATGCATGAGTTAATCAGTCTCAGTTCAGTTTGTTTCCTGTTAAGCCACAAGCAAGAGCAGTTTTGGGTATTTTACCAACACGATGGACACCTTCAGCAAAAACAACTCCCATTCCCATATGCAAATGTGGCTCAATGTGACAATGAAATGCCCAAGCTCCTGGATTATCAGCAACAAACCTCAATGCAGTCCATCCATAAGGGAAGATCACAGCAGTGTTTCTTAATGGTGGATTCTTCAAGTTAAATTTCTTCTCATCTTCTTCTCTGAACTTCCCTTCTCCATATCCTAACACCCAAAAATCATGACCATGCAAATGCCATGGATGTATTTCACTAACGTCCTTTGCTAATGCATTGGCATTTTGAAGTATCACATCAACAGTGGTATTGAAGTCAATGGTGTAAATTCCATTTCCATGAGTTGAATTGGGGTTCACTGGAGGCTTCATAATGTCATAATTGTTATCATAGTTGTCCGGAGGGTGTTTCTGATCAAAAGCATTGTTGAAACCATATTTAATGGAGCCCAAGTAAGGAGTCGGAGGCAATACTAAGGAAACATTGTTGATAGACCACTTGGTGAATCCATCAATTTTGTTTTGAGTGTTGAGAAGGATGATCCGACGATGATTAGTTTTTGGGGGCTGGGGGGATCCCATCAGGGCAAATATGCTTTTAGTAAATGCTTTGCTGTGATTATAATCGTTCCATCGAGGTGTTACAGGTGGTTGAGAGACAGGGAGTATGGATGCAGAGGTGGGAAAGTAGTTCAAAATGGTGAGGGCTTGAGCTGTTTTAGGTTCTCTTCCTCTTACACCAATTGAAATCCAATAATTCTTGGAGGGGAGTTGGTCTGTTCTTACCAGGACTGAATAGGTTTCCCCTGAATAAATATCCAAGTCATTAACTGCAAATGGTTGCACATAATTTCCATCAGCTTCCACCACCAGCATTTTGTGACCCTGCAACAAAATTTCGTTAAACTAGAGAAATACACTTCAAGGCCTTTATCAACTTTAAGCTGTAACATTTTCTTATCTTAACAATCAAAACCCAAATCTTAAACATCATTTTTACTCTTTATAGATAAACGCCAAACTGATATTTGCTTTATATAATGAGATGCAAATATTGCTTCATGAATTCGACTCATAGGAAGTCAAGCCTAAACTATGGACTTTAATTTCCCCTGAATTTTGTGACAGATGAAAGGAACAAGAGGGCAAGGAATTGTTGATGTTTTTGGATAGCTAAATTAAAATCTTGGGTGCAGATTCGAAGGGCAGCTTTTGATTGTACATCAAATGATAAAATTTTTGGTATAGCAAAATCTGATAATAATAGTAATTATAATAATAATAATGTCACAAAGAATGCGACCTGATGTGAGCCACATGCTAAGTCACCAATCACACTGAGTCATTTGTACATTTGTGAGTAGTACGCCAGAAAAGAAATATGCAGGGAGTGCCAGAAAGTAAAAAAATGTAAACGTTTTCAAGCGTGCCAAATGCATGGGGACAACTGAGAACCGACCAAGACAGGACATCTTTGATCCACAATAATTAAGTTTTTAAAGTGAGTTTAAGTTTTAAAATTACTTAATTAGACAATATATAAATGAATTTTAAGGTAGGGTGTCCATGAAAGAAAATTACTATTACTTGTTTTGATCTTGCTCTAAATTTCCTCATTGAAAAAGCAATAAAGAATAGTGATTTTTTGGTTCTGAAGAAGGCAAGTTGCCTTGACCTCTTTGGTCCTCACGTCCCATATGTATTTGTCAACAACACTTCGCTACCAGCTGCCTGCCACTCTCACGCGCAATGTCCCACTTCCAAAATGCCTCATAATTACTATTACAGTTCTGCTACTTTTTCTCATCCATCTACATGTCTTCTTTTCTCGCCTTGTTTGTTCTCTTCATCTTCTACATACATGATTCATCCAATGTAAAATGTTATTTTTGACATCAAAAGCTGTCAACTCTGAGGTGTTGGAGATTTCCCACCGTCCACATCCGTCCTGATCAACTTTACCAGCTCTTTTTCTCCGTGAAAAAAAAGACTATTACTCTACTATTCACTAAACATTGAATTTATACATCTCCATTAGCTTTATATTTTAGTGGAAGAGAATTAGTTAAGCACTAAATACTAGGTCCAATTCTCCACAGATCAAAATTTTATTCCCCAAAGGTATGGGCGCTTCTGCCCTTATCTTGTCACAACTTGGCAACATCCTAGCTATAGTGAGGGGAGGACATTAGACAACTATATATGGCATATATTATCATAAAACAAAATGCCCATTTGCAAATTCTTTGTGTTCGGCAAATTGCTAAGTTAGGAATCAACTCTAGGGCATATATAGCAATCCCATCCTAAGTGAAGGAACTTTAATCGTTTAAACTTTTGTGTTTTAATATTCCTTGTCTATCCTACCAAAAGTGTGTTCATTTAATAGTTCAAATTAGAATGTTTGACACTTTTCTTTGACATATATCGGAAAAAGAAAATGATATTCCGTTTACATTTTCAAACTGATCAACTGTGCCGCTATGTTTTTCTGAGAGGTTAACCTATTATTGTATGATCAATAATAAGAATAAGAATATTACTAGAATTATAACAGGTACAAAGAGATAAAAGGAAAAGTTGCAATAGGAATAGGAATAGGAATAGGAATAGGTATTTACCCCAATGGCCAAGTTGAGTGAAGCTAGAGCAGTGGTGCTGGCAATCCTCAGCCTGTAAGTTTTGTTTGGATGCACATGCAGGATCTGGGGTGCACATTGCTCATTTCCTCTAAACTTGCATTGGCTGACAGAAGAATTGCTAAATTTTGCAGCCAATGAACAATTGAATTGCCCTCTTCCATTAATCAGCAGAGTCTATCCCCCAAAGAGAAAAAGGAAATTAAACATGTGAGATTTTATTTCTTGCCGGCCAAAGATGACAAACAAATGGGTAAAGAAAATTTCAAGTATTGTTTTACCTACACTACACACTTCTGCGTTTATGTTTTTCTTTTATCCCCATTAATTGAAATGAGATGGCAATATGATAAAGATATGCCAACCACCATGCATTATCATGGCAATTTTTTTTTTCAAATCAAGTGTTGAAACAATGAACTACAATTTCCCGCACTTTGTTTTGTCACTTGGTTTTTGTAATCATCATGGTCGGCACCACATAAGTATGACCATTATTTTTTTTTTCAGCTTAGTGCCGATGCCACCACATGGAGTTGTAGTTTTGTAGACTGGCTCCAACATCGGCAAGAATTGCACTGATTAAGCCAATCAATCTTAATTATAGTAACAGGACTACATGTATAATTGAAAAAAGAAAAACAAACTATAGGATAAGACCCAGTTACGCGTTTCTCGTGTGGAATAATGGAACTACTATTGTCTATTGTGTATTTGTTTTGTCCCCTTAATTGGTTGAATTGCTTCGATAAAGGTAGGGGAATAAGAAAATAGGCTGTCGGCATTAAGAAAATGCACTTTTCTTATAACAAATAAAGTCTAGACTAATTGATTGACAACCTTCTCTTGATAAGACGATAGTACTAATAATTTTCTAATCGGTCCAGACTCAGTAAAAGTGAAAGTTCAGTTTGTATTAAGTTTTTACCTGCGGTTCACCGACCCAACGGAATGGGTTGGAGGAAAGGCCAACCTCTTGCTCATGTACACTTAGGTGCCACCAATCACTCAACAATAGGTCGAACTCACCATCATAATGGAATGGCTCTTTCTCTCCGTCTGCCACGTCGACTATAAGGGACCCATACAAGCCTGCTGATCTTTGCATTCCATAGTGCCCATGATAAAAGTATGTTCCAGGCTGTACCATAACACTCTCACTACTTTATTTTCATACCAATGGGTATTACTGTAATACTATAAACATTCATAAAAAAGATAATTTAAAATAGCATATATTGCAACTTGCAGCTTGAAAATACGTTTCTGTTTCCAAGTTGGATCTGATTCTGAAGTTTGAACGTTTTTCATTGAAGGCTGAAAATCAGAACTCCCAGGAAAAGAGAAGAAAGAGAGAGATTGAGAGATTACCCTGTCAACTTTGAACCTGTATTTAAAAGTTTCTCCAGGGTTGATAGCACATTGTGAAATGGAAGCAGTCCCATCCGCCCATGGTGTTCCAAGCTAATGAGTGAAAAAAACATTTTACAGATCATAAATATTTAATCACATGAATAAGGTACTACTTTATATGCAAAGATTCTTGTAAAAATGTTAGTGTGGAGAGAGAGAAAGAAAGAAAAACCTGTCTGATTCCATGCCAGTGAATGACAACTCCCTCAGTGTAAAGCTTGTTGGTGAGTTCCATAACAATGGTGTCTCCGGCTTTAGCTCGGATGGTCGGCCCTGGAAACTGGCCATTGATACCCATTACTACATGTTCCAGACAATCCGGAGATCTGTACATGTATTCTACTTCCCATTTGAAATGCCTAGCCTTGGAACCCAATGAAACATGGATCAAAGACAACACAATGCACCAGAAAACAAGAGCCCTGGATCCCCAAGACTTACCACCCATTTCTAAATATAGAAAACCAGGATGGATAGCGGGCGGATTGGAGAGAGAGAGTTGACTTACAGGATGAAATGGAACTAAACTACACAATGAGCTGTTGGAAATGATGAAATAAACAAATAGTACAGAGATAGCTAGCCTGCTAGTGCTAGTTTATATACAGAGGCTGTGTAGAGTTTAGATTTGGAATTTATATTTGATGTGTTGGAAGAATATAAATTTTATATATTATTAATGAATTAAATAATATAATTTTATTAATAAAATAAATCATTTGATAATATATTATTAATAAATAATTTTTTTAAAAATATTAATTTTTTAATATTTTTTAAGAGTTAATATTTTATTATTAATGAGATGATATCATTTTATTTATTAATAATGTATAAATTTTATATACTAAATCAAATATAAATTCTTAAATTTAATTTAATTCTTGAAACTAAATTGTTCTACTTTTTTTAATATATATAACATACGAAGCTATCTTATATAAATATATAAAATTCAAAACATTTGATAAAAAAGGAAATGTACAACGTGGATACCTTATATTTTTTACATATGGATAAGTTTAAAAATTACCATGTATTCTTTAATAAATGTATTTTATTTATTTAAAACATTTTAATTAATGTTTTATAGTAACATTTTTATTACATAAAAAATAATTAGTTAGACTTAATTAATTACATTTTAAATATCTAATTTTTTTACCTTATATGAATAAATTACAATTAATTTGGTCAATAATACAAAAAAAAAAAACTAAATAAAAAACTCATGAATATACTTATATATTTTCTTATTACTTATGAAAAATGAATAAAAATTAGTTAATTATGCTGATTTTTAAGGTTTTACAATTAGATGCTAAAGACGATTGATTAATTTAGATATTATCATGCTAGGTGACTATGCATTGATTAAGAATTAAATCATAAGAATTTTCAAATATTGTATTATAAGCCAAATCGATCTTAAATGATATAGTTGATTATGACCTGACTAAATATCTATCGGTTTCAATTGAAAATGAAAAAATTTATTTTATAATTTCAGTGAAGTTTTAGATGATGTAAGAGGTGTTACTTTGTAATTTTTAAAAATCTTATTAAATAATGAAACAAATTTCTCTATTTTGTGAAATTTACCACTTATATCATTTAATAAATCCTAAAATTTTAGAAATACTAAAACTAAAATTGAAACTCTTATACCCAATTTGCTATATTCTTCTATGCATTTTCTTATATAGACATAATTAATTCAAGTTTTTTTGAGATAGATAAATATTCAAGATACCTTATTGATATGTCACTAATTCATAATAAAAACACACACAATATTAAAACAAAAATGCCAATAGTTTGGTTTTGATGTAAGTTCAACTCCTTCATAATATAATATAAATATATATATATATATATATATTGACACAACTCCTTCATCAATTTGTATGTACAATTAAGTTCTAAATTTAAAATATTAATATTACAAAAAATTTATTATAATTAATATCAAATTTTAATTTCACATTATGTTTTAAATATGTAACTTTATCTAATTAATTATTTCTATGTTTTCTTAAAATTAGGTGAATATATATGGTTTTAAATTTAAAGTTACAATTATATCTTAGATATTCAACATAGATTTACGACCTTGAAAGGAACGGAGAGATTTTAATTGTTATAAGCAAAATTGAAATTATTGATTTTGCCTATATCTTTGAGAAGCAAAATAGCAAATTATATTGTTGATTCTTTAACAAAAATGGGAGTGGAAAAAACAAAATTATTTTATACATGTTGGTAGTAGATTTTAAGGAGGTTAGGTTGTGTGTATTATTAGTTATTGTTATAATTATTTTTTTATTCATGCATTGGAGCTTCTTTGGTAAGGTTTTTTAAATTTTGTAATCCATCGGTTTTATGACTAAAATTATCTTTTTGAATGAGAAAAAAAATGTATCTCACAATTTTTTTGTTTTGCACTTTTATAACTTTATTTTTAATAATAATCAAGTTATTTATTAAATTGTAAATAAAATGATGATAAAAAAATTATTTATGGTGACTTAAGTTTTTTATCAACTATTATGAATATTTGTAGTCATGAAAATAAAATTTAAATTGTTCTCTAAAATTATAATTATATTAAGTTTTTAAATAATATTATATTACAAAAATGATTTTAGATATATTTATCCGAGCATAACACAAATATAAAACTTTAAATGTTCAAATAAATAATATTTGACAATTAATTTTTTGAATTGAAATTAAATTTATAATATTTACATATAATTATTTTGATTTAAAAAATTAAAAAAAATGTATAACTCTTATAGCAATGTAAATTAATTTCTTCCTATGTATACAAGTGTGTGGTTACTAGTTAATTTGATCTTAGGGGCCTGTGGGTACATGTTATCTCACATCAAGCAGTCTAAATGCATGGGATCGATCTGGAATTGAGAAGGTTCCCTTGTGAATTTCTCTCGTGAGGGAATTTCTAAAAAAAAAAAGAATCTTCCCACATCCGATGCTAATTACTAAGGCCATTAATTGTTTTTTTTTTTTTTTTGTGAAGTATCAATTGTTCTTTTTAAATAAATTTTTTATCAATCAAACTAGTCAGAAGGTCAAAAGGAGATGTTGAATCAAATGATCAAAAGTGGAAATTCTTCCAGGCAGAGATAAAACTAAATCTTGTTTTTTTGCAGTAATAATAACGCGGCCAAAGCAAATTTAAATTTTGAAACCCGGACGTATGCCCATAAATGCTGGCATTGGTCAAAGTGCCGCTATTATACTCCTACTATATATTAGAGTATCTTAATTATTGCTGCCCCTCCGTTTGCTTTAGTTCTAAATCATGTTTCCTTGACACCCTGTTAATTCAGTATTCCAACCTCATATCATGATTTAGAGCCCGTATAGATATGATCGTTGTTCGTTTGTTCTAGTTCTAAATCATGGATCTAATCGTTATTTTAATCTCATATCTATCACTATTTTTAATTTCACTCAAAATTAATTTTATTATCAATCTCAATGTACACTTAGATTATAAGATGTCTACTTAAAGGATTTTTAAGTCACCCTTTGAAGTCTTATTAATTACTATTAATTAAGATTTAGGGTTCAAAGTTCAACTATACCTTAGTGATGAAGTTAATAATAAAACTATGAATCCCAAACACTATAGGAAAATAGAGATTTAGTGATTGTTTTTTAGTGATATTTTTAAATAAACACCACAAAGTTTCATTTTTTTATAATGTTAGTGACATTTTTTTATAAAACGTCACTAAATTCTTATATTTCAGCATTTAGATTTAAAAACGTCACTAAAAATATATTTTTGTGACGTTTGTTGACCCAAACGGCACTATGTAATTTGACTTTTATAAGTATAACAGCATTTATAATGTAAATGCTGCTAACAGGCATTTTTAAATGCCTTAAAACACCTTCAAAATGCTAGAGGAAAAGATTGAACCTATGATCTTATGGTTAATAGTAATATACTATAACCAACTGAGTTGCTTCAATGTTTTTAGCAGTGAATTATTTAAGGTATTTTTTGATCAAAAACGTCTTAAATAATCTTTAATAAAAAACTAAAGAGACTATTCAAGGTATTTTTGACCAGAAACACATAGAATAACCCCATTTTATAAGGGTTTATTCAAAGTGTTTCTGGCCAAAAACACCTTGAATAATCTAAAAAAAGATAGAGGATTATTCAAGGCATTTTTGGCTAAAAACGCCTTGAATAATTCTTCACAAAAATTGAAAGGGATTATTGAAGGCGTTTTAGCCAAAAACATCTGCAATAATCTCCAATAAAAATTGGAGGGATCATTGAAGGCATTTTTAGCCAAAAATACCTTTAATAATCTCATTTTGTAAAGAATTATGTAAGATATTTTTGGCTAAAAACACCTTAAATAATCCAAAAAAAATAGTAGGGAGTTATTCAAGTTGTTTTTAGCCAAAAACGCTTGGAATAATTCTCTGATAAAAATTAAAAAAATTATTAAAGGTATTTTTTGATCAAAAACGTCTTGAGTAACCTTATTTTATAAAGGATTATGCAAGGTATTTATTGCCAAAAATACCTTGAATAATCCTAAAAAAAATGGTATGGGACTATTCAAGGTGTTTTTTGCCAAAAATAACTAGAATAATAACTTGAAAAAATTGAAAGAGATTATTGAATGTATTTTTAGCCAAAAACCCCTTGAATAACCCTATTTTATAAGGGATTATGTAAGGCGTTTCTAGCCAAAAATGCTTTAAATAATCCAAAAAACGCCTTGAATAATCCTTTGAAAAAAATTGAAAGAGATTATCAAAAGTGCTTCCAGCCAAAAATGCCTTAAATAATTTTTTTATTTTTATGAGAGAATTATTGAAGGCATTTTTGGCTAAAAGCCCCTTGAACAACCCTATTCAATTTTTTATAAGGGATTATTTAAGGCGTTTTTAGCCAAAAATACCTTGAATAATCTCCTCATAAAAGTTAAAGGGGATTATTGAATATGTTTTTTGTCAGAAACGCCTTGAATAACCTTATTTAATTTTTTGTAAGAAATTATTCAAGGCGTTTCTAGCCAAAAACGCATTGAATAATCCAAAAAAAAATATTTTCAATAACGTAAAACTCCCCGTTTTAAAATGTATTTTATTGGCATTTTAAAAAGAAAACGCCAATAAATAAAACATTTAGTGGCATTTTTAAATAGGAAACGCCACTAAAAATTCTTTCAAATTCTCAAACCCTTTTTACTGTTTATGCCATTTTCAATCATTTTATATTCCAGTTGATTCTTTTTATTTTAGCCTAATTTTTTTTTGTATGGATTTCCACTCCATTTACGACCTTGATCTTCTTATTTTTCATGAATTTTCTCTCAACGCAAATTTCCTTTCAGCAAGCAAAGTCTTGAGATGTTGAAATGATTTACAGTTTGTAAAGCTTGAGGAACTGGTAGAACTTGAGGCAAGGCTTGGTTTGTTACTAAAATCATTTGCAGTTTATAGTCAACAGAAATCAATTGGGCAGAGTTATCATTGTTTTCCTCAATAGAAAT